ACATTTTCGAGCTGACGTGGTGTCAACTTCTGACATGACTATACATCTGATATAGGTGTGCATGGTACTGAATTTGAAGTCTTTAGTTCACATATGGACAAGGAATATCACTGTGAAATTTCAGTTTCCTAACTTACCTGGTCCCCGAAAGAGTTTTCCTATCACGAAATTTGCATATTTCTCTTTCGTTGTCTATACATGAGCGATGATTTCAGTTTGTAAGGGCGACACGTGTGCTGGGAACAAGCTGGCAAAATTTTAGCCTCACAGCTTTCCTAGTTGCTGAATTGAAAGTGGATGAAAAAGTTCACTCGCCCACATTCACACACACATACACACAACCGCATGCCTCTCGACAATGTGCGTTTTTATTTACTGTATCAGCAAAACCGCATAAAAATTAAATTTTTAAACTCAAAGACACGAATTTGCAAAAAACGGGATTATTCTTGAAAACATACAAAAAAGCGCTTCCCTCTTTTTGTTTGCTGAAGTAACATTAAGTAGCAACAAACACTGAGCAAACTTTCCGGCAATTTTATATTGTAAATACCACATGATGATGATGAGTCATTACCCATAAAGCTGTGAAATTAATCTTTGGATATCCGAAATTTCAGGAAGCAAAGATTGAAAAATGTCATATGGCCAAAGTGAAGCAGGCAGGGAAAGCGAAGTAAAGCCCGTGAACAAAATGCACTGTGCTAGCTGCTGTTAGCTGACACCCGAAATCCTATTTATTATCTAAGCTTAAGCAAGTTTTTTTTTTGTAAAGAAAGTTTGCTTTATCTTTATTTAAGTGGGGAAATCACCGCTTTCAGGACATTTGGCAGTACACCGCAATGGAAGAGTCAAAATAACATAACTTATCATATTTTTAAAGTGTTGTTCTCAAAATAACGTATGCGAGCAATTTGAAACGGGCAAGTAGGAGGAGGACATAGATCACCAAAGGAAAAAGAAATCCATTTTATCAATTTAATACTGACGCACCAGGGTTAGTCATGCTTTTTGCTGTTATACTAAGACCACCAGGATTATCAGTGTGGTTATGCCATGTCAGTGATATTACTAGGATGCTACCACGGCAGACACAGATATGCTCGGCCCATCAGCTTTTTATCTTATTACCTCCAGTTAGTATTCACCGCCTATCCGATGCATGTGCACCAGTTTTCACTGATAGCTCAAGTGAGCTGCTTGCTTTTTCGCAGATACCACGATTATTTAAATTTTTCCTATCACTGAAGTTCCTCCATTGTTGAACGTTTCTCTTTTCAAAGCACTGTTTGACGCAAAAATATGTGGTAGAAGCAGCACCAGCATTTTGATTAAGCTCCTCCATTAGTGGCCTAAGCCTACTTTTAAGCTTTGCTATCAGCTATACGTATGCACATGTGGTAGCAGCCTTTTATCCCTTTGATTTTAGTTTAGGTTTGGATAGGATCAGACAGGACCAACAACAGTTCAGGTCTATGTTTACGTAGCAACGAACGCATCTGTTTCGGACAGGTCCCTATGATCGATTCCTCTATGATAGCGGGAAGACCGCCGCAATCAAATAGAGCAATAAACCTGAGAAGCGTCACTTTAGACTGATCGCTACAGTAAACCAGTAAATTTGATCCCGGTCCCGGGCATAAATCGCCGAAAATGTGTCGATTCCTGAGCTCCCACTTAAATTCTAGTTCCAAACGGACTACGGGGAACTTACTTTGTCAACTATCTCTGTGAAGACCAAGCAGTTACATTTCTAACTGCAACAAAAGACTAGTTATGCGTTTTTTGCAACTATGCAATGCAGAAAACGCATATTGACGAGAGGTTGTCTGTGTGTGTG